TACACAAACAATACACATATGCTTTCAATTGTGTAATTTAAGTGATCTAGGTAGCTCTGTTTTGGAAGTTCAGTTAATGCTAGAAATGCGTTTTGGAGTTTGTACGTGCTTTGTCTCTAGGGGCCACCTTATATATTTATATATAAACATATATAAATAAAACCACAGGTTTTTTTTTGTACATTAGTAATTCATTCTGTAGGCCTACATAATTTTATATTGTTGTTAACAACAAATTAATTAAAGCAACAAAACAATCTGAAGAGCCGGTTGGGAGCCGAAAGAGCCAGCTCTTTTTAGTGAACCGAGCTGAAAGAGCCGGAAATGCCATCACTAGCGTCTGCTCCTTGTCTTTTCAAAACATGTCTCTCTCTGACATTATAACCTCTACAAGAGTTTGTGTTGTATTATCTTCAAATGTTCAATAAAAACATGAATCGCTCATTCATAACAACAAAAGCTTTGTAACTATCCCAACTAGTGAAGAGTGTGTCATTTCCACAACACTACCCCCCCCAAGGTCCACAGGGTATTTGAAAAGGCTCTGAAGCTCCCGTATTAGCATGAAAACCTGTGACAAAAAATTCACCAAACTCAGACACGCATAGCATGTTTTCCTTCGTGGTGAGGTGATGAAGGAAAATGCTGGCACGTGAAAGGACCTTTACCCTTCCAAGACCTGGAGGTCAGTAAAGCACCCCTCCACAGCCAAACCCATCTGTTCTCTGATTGGATTGTTAAATTTGTGACGACATTGACCAATCAGCTGAAAGGAAGAAAAATTGGGTCAAAATTCGTACTTTTAATTTGAAAGTCACGCACAAGCAGGGAACGTGAGCTCAGACTTTTAGAAGCTTTTTGCTTTATATCTGTAACCAGACCTTAACCAAAAAAATTGTAACTTGTGTAAATCTTATTTTACACACACACAAATTCTAATCTATAGATGCACAAACATAAAATTTTCAGATATTTTTGTTTACAAGGTTACAAAACTCAGTTCACAACTACGCATTTCATTTACAAGTACAAAATATTTATGACCACGATTTGAGCCCATATATTTCCAGGAATAAAGCTGCCATTTTCGGTTAACATCCCGTGTTTGAGTGCCTTGTTTAGGTCCAACATCCTGCCACACAGGTGTACATTGCCATTTACACTACATGAGCATTTTTATTATGATTATTTTGTTTGTTTGTTTAAGTGGTTTAAATAATCTGACCAAGTGTGATACTTCATCTACCCATCCATTCATCCATTCGCTTCCGCTTATCCTTTTTAGGGTCGCGGGGGGCGCATGGAGCCTATCCCAGCTGTCATAGGGCGAGAGGCAGGGTATACCCTGGACAGGTCGTCAGTCACGCCAAACCATAACGAGCTGTGATACTTCATCATTATTTATTTATTTATTTAAAAAAAAGCTACTGGCTCACATGGCTCTGTATTTTTATTTATTTATTTTTGGCCATAAACTTCCTTTGTTGTGTGTTGTGATCCTGGTAAATAAGCAGAGTTGACCATGAAATCTGTTTCTGTTTATTCACCGTCGCTGCAATACTCCATTTATTCCTTATCAGCATGAAGTCAGCAGAAAGATTTTTTTAAAAACAGCTTTTTTTTTGCAAAATGAAAATAATAACAATTATTAAAATTTGCACGGTCCAGTCTTTTAAAACCGTCGTCTCACATGCTCGGTTCTTTGCTATCGTTCACCTTTGAACAGAGTGAATAGCCTTTGCAGGTAAAAAGTCACCTGGACTTAGAACACAAAAGTTGATGTTTAATTATCAGCTTTTAAAATGACTATTACTGCCATAATACCGTTGATTACTGATTGATTACTATTGTCAGATTTAAACACTAGTTTTTCAAAAAAACAACTCGTGCAAAAACAGGAAAAGAAAAACATGTACTACATGTAGGTTTAAGGAACACACGCATTACACAGAAATTAGGTGATGTCACAAAGACCATTTTGCTAAGAACTGTTTTATCCTACTTACCCTGAAGATCTGCAACAACAACAGCACAGAGGAATGAAGCGGATACCAAGAAGAAGAAATTGTGCTTTGCATGCAACTCCATGGTCAGCTCTGCGGATTGCGAAACTCCGCGGATTTTTCAAGAACCGAGCGCAGAACAAAGAGACAGAGGAAGTGCGTCCTCATATGAAGGTTTCTTCTTTTCTCTTTGACAAAGAGGAAAGGGTAGTGTCTCCAGCAAGATATGACGTCATTCAGTTTGACGCCAAACCATAACGGGACTAAAGTCCAATCTACAGTCTAAACTTTAGATTCACTTCAGGACTCACTTCCAGAACACTTTCTGCTTTGGATGTCCCGCCTACTTCGCCGCTATCGTAATCCACAACTTTGTCTTGCAATCCTTTTTTTTCGTCTGCCTGTCTGAAAAGCTCAAAATGTGAATTTGGTTACAGGTTTATTCATATGAGCGCATGCTGTGTCACAGGCTCTTGAACTATGATACAGTAATTAATACAAGTGCAGTTGTTTTTGCTTGCATTGCATTTCTCATGACCCACACAGATACAGAGGTGTTGACACAGTTGCTCGGGAGGACTTCTGAAGGTTGAATGTACACAAGAGAAAATGTAAGAAAAAACTGAACTGAA